GTTATCTTTGCAAAAAAAAAATTAATTCTTTCCTGTAGGAAACTAATTTTAAGTTCCTTTAACAAAGATTTTTATTAGAAGTCAGATCATAAACCAACGTTATAGTAAGCAAGTAGAGTGAATGGATTTTACATTTACAAGTAGAGTATAATACACATAGTGTTGCAAAAATATCACTTCTAGAAACATACTGCTTACATAAGACAAGAAATTCAAACAATGCAAAGTATGTTGAAAATTACATCCAATGAGAGACTTACAAACAAGAAAACAATTACTAATACATATTCAGATACGGAATGTGAGCAATTTTGTGCCAGTCTTCTCCTATCCCCTTCTCACACCGCATGAACACTATTGGACATTGAGGGCTGTTAGGTGCTGCAATCCCTCCGGTAAACATTTTAACATCTAAACAACCATTGAACGAATTCAATTCAGTCTTCTTACATGGATTTGTATAATTTCATAACCCAAATGCATATTTTGGATCTTGTTATCTGCTTTTACTAAAGTGTTTTAGGAGGTTAAAAAGTAATCTTCAATTGATAATGGTGAGAAAAGAACCAAACAAATGAATTTCGTAGTTTAATTTGCTCAATTGAATTTCCTTAATGAAAAAATCCTCTAAAGAGAGGAAGGTTGTTTCCTGCAAAAAAGAAGAAAAGATTGAAGAGAGAGAACTGCTAACTAGAGTTCATATTATTTAACCATGGTTTAAAGGTTGCTTTATTTAAATAAATATGAATCATTAGATTTTAAAATTGACAGATCTCATTAAATTAAATATGCACTAGATCAACTAGAGAGATTAGTGTACCGGAGAGAAGCCTCCTCCCACGTACTGTGTTATTGCAAGGAAAAGTAAATTTGCTGACAAGACAGATTGACTCATAAGCCAAAAGAAAACAAATTTAGATAAATAATTTAAACGAAAAATCATTTTGGCCCGAAAATTTGGCCAGAATGGTAGAATAACTTATTTCACATTATGTTATTTTATCTTTATTAACATATTTTACCCTTTTAACTTTAATACATTTTAATTAAAAAATAAAAAAAAGTTTAGTTTATTTTAAAAGAAAAAGGATATTATAGACTTTTTAAATTGGAAAAATTACTTGGGTGGGTACTTTTAATAAATAATTACTGATTTTAACGATACTTTTTTATTTATTACCATTTATAGCAACACATATCAATATTATGTTAAATATGCAATATGTATTAAAAGTGAATTATGTATGCAATATATATGTATTATAATTGTTTTTTAGAATATGTTATGTTTGTTTGGTAAGAATTTGACACATTGTATTATAAAGGGTCGTTTGGTTATTGGTTAGAGTTATGCAGGTATTAGTTATGCAGGGTTTAGTTATGCAGGTATTAGTTATGCAGGGTTTAGTTATGCATGTATTAGTTATGCAGGGTTTAGTTATGCATGTATTAGTTATGCAAGGTTTAGTTATGCATGTATTAGTTATGCATGGTTTAATTATGCAGGTATTAGTTCTACAGGGTTTTTAGTTATGCAGGGTTTAATTATGCGGATATTAGCTATGCGAATATAAGTTATGTAGGTATTATTTAGTTATGTAGAGATTACAATACATGAATTATTAACTATTGAATATTAAACTTGTTGTAAATTATTAATATATATTATTTACAAAATAATAATACATGCTAATAAAATGTGGAATATATTGAATAATATATAATGCTAATATTTGATTAGCATATGTACCGTAAAAAATATACAATCAAATTTCTAATATTAAAAAAATATTTATATTTATTTAAATAAATAAAAACTGTAAGTATATTAGAAAAAATGAAAATGGTCTATATATAAAAAACACAACAAACGTAGATAGAAAAAAATAAAAGAAATTAAAAGAAATGAAAATGATCTATATATAAAAAGAAATAAAAACAACAAACCTATATAGGAAAACAGTAAAGTTTCCAATTAAAAAAAATAAAATAAATTAATAGGGTTATTATGTAATTTATCATTTTAATACATGTATAACTAATACCACATAACTTATTTCACCTTCTACCCTGCATAACTTTATACATAGATCCTCATAAGTTATGTTGGTATTAATTATGTAGGACTACAAAAAATGCAATCAAACACCGTATAAATTAATAAATGAATAACTTTTATACAACATTTAAATTTTTACCAACCAAACATGGTATAAGTTATGTTGACTTTTATACCTAATACAAAACTCCTACCAAACATAGTAAAGCTAGTGCAACTGAATAATATGTCTCTTATACAGTAACCAAACGACCCCTAAGTGTATTAAAATGTGTGATACATGTATTATTCATCAATAAATTATATGTGAATAATAAATTGTTCTTCGTAATATGTATTAAACATGTATTAAAAGTGATCAAGTGAAAAAAATATATTGCTATAAATGGTTTTTTTTTTCTATTATAGTATATTTATGTAAGTTTTCCATTTAAATTTATGACCAAATTCTGACCAAATTTTCTGATAATTTAGCATTACCCAAATTAAACATTTTTCATTTGTAAAGTCAAAAGTGCCTACTGGGATTAGCAAACACTTTGCAGAAACATTATTACTTTAATGACAATGGGTATTTCTTTTATTATTAATCTTCACCCTAGTTAGATAGATAAGAAGTTTTGAAAATAGGTGATTAGATAAAAAAATAATTCATTAAGGGATCGTTTGGTAGAGTGTATAAAAATAATGTTAAATGGAGTGTATTAGCAATGTTTGCATTAGCAATGCATGTATTAGTTATGCCTGCATTGGTTATACATAGATTATTATAGTTTACTAAGGATATAATTGTTGATAAAAAAATGTGGAGATTGATGATTAGGTTAGAAAATTAGTAGGTCGATCATTGTCTAATTTTATTTTCACTATTGTTAAATTACTCTTGTACTATCTAATTATTCTTTTTTAGTATTACGTGATGTTTCGTGTTATTTTATTATTGTTATTATTACTATTACTAGTTCTGGAAACGTGCGCTGCACGTTTATCTTCTATTACGATCTAAGATTTATGTAAGTCTAATCTCATGTAGATATAAATATTTATCAAATTATATTTTTATAAATATGATAAAGCTTGTATTGATTAATATGTTTATATATACGGAGTCACCTTTGTTAGGGAGCGCTTTACCCCCCCCCCCCCCCCCCCCCCCCCCCAATGTAGGATTTCCCAGCGCGAATCCGAATTTAGTCGGGCTCCAATGTGGGTACCAGACACCGGGTGGAAAACCCAAAAAAAATAAAAATGTTTCTATATAAAGCTTACTTTTGCATCCAAAAATAAATGAAAAGAAGGATTTCCAATATAATCTTCTAGACTAAAATATCTAAATATATATATATATATATATATATATATATATATATGTTTCTCTATACAAAATACAAGGGTGATATCTAATTCTTTTTATTCAACTTTTTGTTATTTATTTGGAAAATAAAATATGTTGAATTATGTAAAACTAATTAAGATAATATAACATCTGATGATATGTAACATATCAAGGAACTCTTGCTCTAAATTTAAGAAGTGCACGTAAACATCACTAACGTGGATGCCTTTTTTGTACACTTTGAGACGGTACTTAGTTGAATGCAATAAAAAATTAGGTAATCAACATAATACTTAGATGGCCATCATTATTATCTATAATAATTTTCTTCCAAAGATTGTAGCTAGCTATGTATGTTATGAAATAGGAAAATCTAAGCTCTTATAAAATTATAAAGGGAATAAATTTAATGAAAGAAAGATAAATGTAGCACTTTTTTGATGATCAATTTAAATAACATAATTAAGTGAAATGACAAAGAAAGGAAGAAGAGAGTTTCCATCTCACTTACCCAAAATATGTAAATCAGTGAAAACACACGGAATTCCTTCAATAATTGCCTAAAAATTAAATATTAAAAGAGAAGTTTTCAAAACATGAAAATGTATTAATTAGTTACTTACTATGCTTGTTAGAAGGCCAACTTTGTGAAAAGATGATTATCAACCTCCGCAAAGATTTTCAACATCCATTCCCATCACATTGCAAGCTTCGTATGAAGTTTTAGAATGTACATGTATATTTTTCTCCTGTAAAAAATAAAAGAATATAATGAAAGTAACAAAAGTGCATGTATAATCATATATAATATTTTAATTTTATATATACAATTAATGCTAACAAAATTTTACCCTAATGTATGTGCAATGAGTATATGTTCTTCAAACACTAAACGTTATTCTAACTTCTTTTTCTCTAGTATAATGAAGATTAATAGCGCATGTGGCGTGTGTTCATTTGCTTATGAATTGAATAAATGACTTCAGAGAGCACATTGAACTATCTGGATAACCATTCTGAAATATGGATCTTAAAGCCATTCGTTGTTTATGAACCTCTTCATCGTTCATCAATTCGTCAATTTCTTGAACTATGTCTTCTTTCTTCACCATCTCTCTTGGGTCATCACTAAGTAAAATCATGTGTCCCATTTTCAAGTAATTTGTTACCAATTTGGCATCATGGAATTGGTCACCCCTATTTGGCCACGCCAAAATTGGGACTCCGCGTCCATTGTTGAGTTCCATCAACAATGTGATAGAAATCCACCAGTTGAAGAATGGCTCAAAATCCACCAGTTCCATCCCTTTATTATCATTCCTCTGTTTCAGGCAATCCAGGAAGAATTCGAATCTCACCATGGTTTTTCCATGCTACAAACTCCATTGCAGCAGCACAAGCACCAGAATACAGGTATGTCAAATTTCATGAAAATTTCCCTCCTCGCGCTATATTTGGTGTTTTTCCCATGTGCCACAAGATTCATTCAGAAACTGACACTCAACCACTGTTAGCCAATAATTACAACATTAAAAAGTATAATACAAATGGATCTTACAAATTGTTAATTTGCTTCCAAAAGAAAATCAGAAAATTACAAATAACTCACACATATATAGTCAAATGTGGAATGTGAGCAATTTTGTGCCAGTCTTCTCCTATTCCCCTCTCACACCGCTTGAACACTATTGGACATTGAGTAATTATTAAAGTTGTTAGGGCTGTTAGGTGCTGCAATCCCTCCGGTAAACATTTTAGCGTCATACAGTTACTGACAGACAACTCGGTGAGTGAAGTTAAACTTTTCACCCCTTCCTCTGGGAGACTCTCTAGTGCGTCACAATATTCAATTTGCAGACTATTCAAAGCATTGAGACTAGCCAGGCAGGTAGGCAGCTCTTTGAGATTCTTGAAGTCAGAGATAGTCAAGTCTTTGAGATTTGCAAGGTTTTTGAACATCTCTTCTGGGAGTGAAGTAGCTTCATAGTTACTGCTAATGTCGAGCGAAGTAAGAGCCCTAAGATTAGATATGGACCTCAAAACTGTTGCATCTGTCACATCAACTTTCAATGTCTTGACAGAAGAAAGGGTCGGAATAACAAACATAGGGCACCCGTGAATTGTCATCTCTTCAAGCACAGGAAATTGCTCTTCTCCTTCCTTTTTCAGCAATCCTTTCAGATTACCAAAGTCGCATATAACAAGTTTCCTCAAGGATGGAAACCTTCCAGGATGAGCATTCTCTTCAACATACTCCACCTCCGCAGACCCCGTGTGTAACTCTAGACTTTCTAGACTAGGCAGCTCACCAAAGGGTGGTAAGCACGAGCAGTTTTCACAACCTCTAATTGTAATAGAGACAACATTTTTCAAAACTGATTGATTCATCCAGTCTGGGAGATGGATTCCTCTGAAGCCAATGATTTCTAAATATTTCAGATTGGAGTGTGGTTTGAGGGCTTCAAGAACTTCTGATTCATATCTATGTGTTCCATCAAAATCCCAACTCAGGCTTAAAGAGTGCAGATTTGCTTTAACAGATATATTAGCTTCTTTTGCATCCCTTCCTTTCTTCACTCTCTCAAGTTTTGTGATTGAAATTGAGCCATAGAGATTTAGGTTTCTTAGTTCACCAAGTAGATAACCTTTTCTCTTGCCAATAACAAAGCAACTTAGAGACTTACGGCATGTCAACAATCCTATCCTTGGTGGCGTTGACGTCAATGAACAGCCATCAAGTAAAAGATTTCGGAGACTACCAAGTTTACTTGTTTGTTTTGGCAAACAAGAAAGAGAGTAGCAATTACGTAGATCAAGAGTCTGCAGATTTTGAAGCTTGCATAATCTCTTTGGAAGACTACGAATTCTAATATTGTCAGACAAGTCCAGGTATCTTAAATGTACTACATCTCCAATGGAAGATGGTAATTGATTTAGGTCCGAGTTTCTTAGATTAAGCACCCTTAATGAGACAAACTTTTGTAAGAGTGAAGGAGAGTAAGAAGACACCACTTCAGCGTAACCAATCGACATCATATATCCATCATAATTAGCATATATTTCACGAATGTTGCTGCTTGACGTGTTTGCTGAAAACAGAGATGTTGCCAAATCATGGATGAGATCATGCATCTTGAAATAAGTTTTACCAGATTTAACTTCAATCTCTTGGAAGAAAGACCTCAAGTATAATTCATTCCATACTTCATTACCTACATCCTCTAGCTCCAAATTTCCTTTCGATAAAATAAAACCGTGTGCCATCCAGAAAGCGATTAGATTTTCCTTTGCCATTTTGGTGTCCTTCGGGAATACTGCACAATACACAAAGCATTGTCTCAAATCAAGTGGAAGATGATGGTAACTAAGCCTCAGGGCAGGCAGAATAGAACTTTCATCTTGAGGCAAATTCCAAATCGGACTGTCTCTCACATGTTCCCATTCTCTTTCTTCTCTCTTGAAGCGCAAAATACCTCCAAGAGTCTTGGCTGCTAGAGGCACACCACCACTTTTTTTCACAATCTCCTTTCCACAAGGTTTGGATTTATTTCTTCTTGGTGTCCAAATGCACGTTGTATGAACAAAAACCAACAATCCTCTGGAGACAGATTTGACAATTCATATGGTTGCAATGTTCCCATAATTGATCCAACCTTTTCAAGACGAGTAGTAGTTAGAACAGAAGCACCACTTGCTCCAACCTTCAAGACTGCTCTTAAATTAGCCCACTTCTGTTGATCTTCATTCCAAACATCATCTAAGACAAGCAAGTATCTTTTTCCATTCAGCAACTCTTGAAGCTTCTTTTGAAGTGGAGCCAAGTCCATGTCACTGAGTGACTTCCCTTCAATAGATTCTACTATTGCCTTTATCAACCTCTTCTCATCAAAATCATTGGAGACACAAATCCACAGTTTGGGATAGAAATGCTCAGTTACTCTCTGATCATTGAAGACCATTTGGGCAAGAGTCGTCTTTCCTAGTCCCCCCATACCACGTATTGGGAGGACTGAGAGTTTTTGGGCATCACTAACATTGTTTATTAGGATTTTCACTATCTCATCATTTTCTTTGTCCCTTCCATAAACTTGTGGTTCAGTTAACACAGAACCTGATGCAAGCAATGTCCAGATGAGAATATTGTTACATTCAAGCTCATTAGGAGTTGGCAGAAAATAGTTAAATAGAAAAGGGTTTTGCACAATAAAGAGATATGGATGAGATGAGGAGCAGGTTGAAAACTTTGAAACTTCCCTTCTCCCCAAAAACCACATGAATTTGATACATAAAATGATCAAATATACTTGTCGTTATACTTTTAGTCCAAATATATCCTCCTGTTTTACTTTCAGTCCAAATATACTGCACCCTTTATACTTAGGCGCAAATTTTCCTTTAATCTTGACGGGAAGACATGTGACAAGCATCAAATCAAATAATTCACCCATAATGTTTTTGGTTGCTTCTCTGTATCATGATTTAAATTTGGTAGCTTTGTTAGAGGATGATTTAAGTTTCTATTCCATTTTTGTAGTTTAGACGTGTCTGATAATTTTCCATTAAAGTACCTTGATATCATTTTGTTGAACTTGTTACTTTTATGTAAGAAATAATCGATGGAACTCTATGCTCCAACTTTATCCCCCTATATTCCACTCTGAAAGAAATCCAGCCTAATCATTTCTTTTTCTTCCTTGAGACAAAATTTACACTCAGTTCATGTCTAGAAAGACGACCGTCATCGAGAACGTAATATTAATTTGTTAAATATGCCTGTTATGTTTATTGTTTCTTATTGGATTAAGACCCCAATGCAGCCCATAGAGAAACAAAACAGAAGAAAACCTCTTTTCTCTGAGCTGCTACGTTAAGAAAAGCAAAACGGATCGAGTCTTCTATATGGGAGGAGTATGTTTGCACTGAAAGTATAACTAGAGGTATATTTAAACTATTTCCAATAGTACATGAGTATATTTGACCTTTACATAATTTGATCATTGCCCAAAACAAATGAATACGAACTAAGTTGTAATACTACTAATTTAAGATGATTACCTGTTTCCCGTGTAGCAGCTTGTCTCTCTATAACCTTTTCTTGCAAATGAAAATTTTTTCTTTCCTCAGCAATTGCATTCAGTTTTTTCATCACTTGGTCCATCCTTTTCCCAACCTTGTGACGGAAAGGGATTGCCTTTGGATGATAACGGCCATATTTAGACTGCAAGAATCGTGTGGCCTTAGTTTTATATTCATCCAAGATGTCATCAACTTCATATGTAGCAGCATTTAGTTTTTGCAACCAATTTTCTCGTGGCTTGTCGTTGAGTTGCTTCTCCTGAGCATCTTCAAGGACGGCTTGGATTGTAGAGAAGATGCTTGAAAGCCTTTGGAACTCATCTTGAAAACCGAAAAGCAATACAAGTTCTCCTTTGAGGAAAGAAGTGAGATTGTCTAGCACAACTTGAATGAAAGCTTCAGCCATATGTGGAATTCACTATTAAGAATATTAGATCTGTGACTATGAATGAATGTGTAATTTTGAAACCAAGATGGGCTAGCTAGTTGGAATGAAATAGAAAGTTTGACTTATAATAATACAAATTCAATTATTTCATGGAAATTTCACATATGGAATCTCAAAATCCAAGGCGTTTTGGTCCTTTTTTTAATCTCTCAAGTTGTCAACTTGTTCTTTTGTTTTGTTTTCTATTTTCTTCGTTCATTTTTATTTGTCATTATTTGATTTGACAAATTCATTAAGAAAATAATTATTAATATAAATATTTTACTAAACTATCCCTATTTAAATTATTTAATACTAAGGATAAAATATAAAAAAATTTTTTGTCATAGATTAAGAATGACAAATAAAAATAAAAATAGAACCGAGCAAGTATTATCTTTTTTCGTCGACAACAACTACTCCCCTCATTGGCAGTTTCCTCTTTCCTAATTAATTAAAGCTGAAATAAGTCATTGGCGGCTAAAATGATTCTAACCTTTTGCCTCTAAAATAAAGTTACTCTCTATTTCATATTAATTGAAACTTTTGAGATTTTTTTCATGGTTCGTACAAAATTCAAAATGAACATTTAGTTTTTTTTTTTTCATTATATTTGCCCTTTTCTTTAGTGAAATTTGCTTCTAGGAGATAAATTACTATAAAATTATATTTATGATTTCACAAAAAATAATAGTGAAAAAATATAATTTAAATTATATCTTTAAATGTTCTTCTTAATTAGTCTGCATTGCCTCACAAATTTAATTAATATAAAATAGAGAAAGTAGTGTTTTCAAAACTCTAAAAGTAAGTGCAATGAAACTTTTTAAGCTAAATGAATCACAGTTATCATTAATTAGAGGGATCTTAGTAGCTCAATTGGTTGATTACTTGAACTCCTAATTTGTTGATAAGGTTCGATTCCCTATATTGTAATTACCGCTCCATTTCCTCTTTCTCTATCCGCAATTTGTAAATTTTTTTTGTTTCATTAGTTATGAAAGGATTATTTAAGAGAATTGTTTTTTATTATGTCCCCATGGACCCACCACCACCACATCATTTCACTTCATCATCTTCTTCTTCTCTCTATTTTTTCATCAAATTTTAAAATTAATTTTATTATATATAAATAATTCTTTAATATTATTTTTGGATATTGTTGTCATCTAATTTCTCTCTTTTTCCATCATACTAGTTTTTTTGACACGTGTGTTGCACGATTACCAATTCCAAGAATATATGTTATAGTAAATAGTTGCTTTATTTAAGCGAAGATTTGAATAATAAGCTTAGCAAAAAATAATATTGCAGATTCTTTTGTGAATGTTCAATATGGATCGTCATATATATATCTTATTCACGCAAACCTATGAAGATGGTTAATGAAAAAGTTTATTAGTTAAATGCAATAATGTATATATTTATTTCAATTTGATGATGTTCAATCATGTAGTTAATCTTATCTCACTAATATTACCTTATAGATATTATTTGTTTTGTATTTCTCTTGTCATCTATTAGATGTGTTTTGCATGTGTACTCACGTCAAATTATTTAGATGTCATATGAACATGTGAAGAGAACAACTACATTTTATATATTCACATATTTTCACATTTGTTGTGAGTTTTTTTTTTTTTTTTAAAGAAAAGAACCCGGAACATTTTAAAATAATATATTTTGAAGTTAAAAGATCTTGTTAACTTGATAATACATTTGTGACATATATAATACTTTTAATTTAAAATTTTAAATACAACTACCTACCCAAATAAAAATATATATTTGCATTAATGAAAATATTTATCTCATAAAATTAGCTATTAAATAAATAATAAAAATTAAACTAATACAAACTTCAATTGGCGTTATTACAAGTCATATGAACTTTTCTTCGTCCAAAATATTGAAATATTAAGAAATAGTAAATAAGTAAACAAAAGGGCAATGTTTATATTGTAATAACTATTTTGAAGCAAACTTCTTGAGAGTCTAAATCACACAAGTAACATTGATAAATAAAGTCATTATTTTGTCTTGACTCTTGAGCATCAAAAATAAATCGTGAGAATTCTCTAAATTTTGGAAAAAGATATTCATAAGCATATATCTACATCACAAGAGAAATTGTTAACAAAAACAAATGAATTTAGATTACATCATGTTAACTTTGTATATTGGAACATTACATACTAATGTATATATTAAGCGAAAAAATAATTATTATATCATCAAAATTATTTTCCTGATCAAGTACTTGAGGTTATGAAATATACCCTCTTAGGATAGATCGACTTACTTCATCAGAATAGTGGTACCTCATATTCCACAAAACTTCGAACTCACTCAACGACAATAAATCACAGACAAAATTTTAAAGTGCAAGAAGAAGAAGAGTAGAAGATTAAAAGAAATTGTGGTGGAAAATTGAGAGGAAACCCCTCTATTTAAAGTCAAAAAAGGGTAATATGAACAAATGTTTTTTTGTGTCTTATCTGAAAAGTCATGACTTTTCGTAGAAGTCACAACCCTTTGAAAAAGTCGCAACTCTTTAGAAAAGTCACAACTTATTAATAAAGTCACAACTCTTTGGAAAAGTCACAACTCATCGAAAAATCACAACACTTTGAAAAAATCACAACTCATCGAAAAAGGACTTAACCCTTTGAAAAAAGTCACAACTCATTGGAAAAGTCACAACCTAAGTTAGGGATATTATAGTAATTTAACATTCAAGTTAAGAGTTCATGTTTTTAAGGTAATATAGATAGATATAGATAGATAAAAGCCATTGTATTAATCATATATTTTATTATTATTTTTTTATTAAAAAGTTGTTCAACTTTAAATTATATAGCATAAAAGTCAAATTATTAAAAACTTTTTCACTTGAAAATCTTTCACCTTAGACCAATTTAACTAGAAAGTAAATTTCACCTAAATTTTAATATTTTATATTAAAAACATGATACAACACTGAAAAGTATATTAACTACTTTCAGGATAGTTTTAGAAATATATTTAACTTCATAACACAATATTTGTTTGGGATATACAATATTACAACAGACACCCAATTAGCAAGCATGTCAATCAACCAGAACCAAAAAGAGAGGGAGAATCAAATAAAATCAATTGGAGAATGACAGAGAATCGAAAAGCAACAACGACTGTAATCGGTATCAATTACTTTCAGTGTCATATTGTATGATTTTATAAAATTTGTTCAATTTTATACAAGTTTAAGTGTCTATTTGTGCACATCCAGAGTTAAAATCATGATTGTCTGCGGAAATCAAGTTAAATGTCATGTTTATATATAATAAAAAAAACATGAATAGTTCTATTTGGTGTTTTTTCCACGTGACACAACATTTATTCAGAAAGTGATAATCAACAACATTATTGTTCGCCAATAATTACAACATTAACAAGTACTCCATCTGTCTCAATTTATGTGACACTTTTCATTTTTCGAGAGTCAAACAATTTAAGTTTGACCGGAAATTCGCGCATGAAATCTTCAATTTTTTAAAAATAAATTTTATATATTTTTAAACTACGTAAAAAGTACTAAGAGTCACAATAATTGATAATTCAAAATGTTTAAAAGATCTATGAAAAATTTACGGTAAAAAATAGACTTGTTTGAATCTCGAAATTTGAAAAGTGTCACATAAAATGAGACGGAGGAGTATAATACAGATGGATCTTACAAATCATTGATTTGTTTTCAAAATAAAATCAGAAAATTACATACAATAAGATACTCATAATTTACAAAGAAAGAAACAATTACAAATAAGTAATAGATTCTCAAAGCGTATAATACAAATAGATTGTTGATTTGTTTCCAAAAGAAAATTACATCCAATGAGAGAGAGACTCACAAAGAAACAACCGTAGAAAAAATTACATACAATCACAATGGCAGGAACCAAAAAGACTCGCAAACAAAGAAACAATTACAAATAATACTTAGGAATATATTTCCACATTAGGAATGTGTGCAATTTTGTGCCAGTCTTCTCCTATTCCCTCCTCACACCGCTTGGCCAGTGTTGGACATCTCCTAATTGTTAAAGTTGTGAGGGCTGTTAGGTGCTGCAATCCCTCCGGTAAACATTTTAGCATCTTACAGGATGTAACAAATAACTCGGTGAGTGAAGTTAAACCTTTCACCCCTTCCTCTGGGAGACTCTCTAGTGCGTCACAAAATTCAAATTGGAGACTCTTCAAAGCATTGAGACTAGCCAGGCTGGTAGGCAGCTCTTTGAGATTATTGAAGTCAGAGATATTCAAGTATTTGAGATTTGCAAGGCTATTGAACATCTCTTCTGGTAATGAAGTATCTTCTTCATTATCGCTAATGTTGAGGGAAGTAAGAGCCCTAAGATTAGAAGAAAGGGTCAGAATAGGGCAATAGCGAATCTCCATCTCTTCAAGCACAGGGAATTGCTCTCCTCCTTCCTTTTTCACCAATCCTTTCAGATTACCAAAATATGTTATACAAAGTTTTCTCAGGGATGGAAACCTTATTCTTCTGGGGAATCCAGAATCAACATCAACATCAACATACTCCACACACCCATATTGTAACTCTAGACTTTCTAGACAAGGCAGATCACCAAAGGGTGGTAAGCACGAGCAGTTTCTGCAGTCGGTAATTACAATAGAGACAATATTTTTCAATACTGAGTGATTCATCCACTCTGGGAGACGGAATCCTCTGAAGCCATTGATTGTTAAAGAAGTCAAATTGGGGTGTGGTTTGAGGGCTTCAAGCACTTTAACATCTTCTGATTCATATCTATGTGGTCCGCTGTCCCAACTCATGATTAAAGAATGCAGATTCCCTTTTGCAGATAAATTGGCTTCTTTTGCGTCCTTATCATTCTTCACTCTCTCAAGATGCGAGATTTTAATTGAGCCATAGAGATTTAGGCTTCCTAGTTCACCAAGTTGATAACCTTTCTTCTTTCCAACAACAAAGCAATCTAGAGTC